TTAAACATGGCTATTTTGACCATTTCAAAATGATGATTCTATTGCCTATTCAAAACTCATAAGGTATTTTTATCATTTCACATGTCATCTAAGGTTGATTAACAATTTTGGACGAAATTGATAGTTTTAAAGAGTTGCTTAATGGCACATTTTGAAAAACGGGTAATAAAGTAAGAATAGTCTCAAAGTACAAAATACTAATCTGCAATTTAACTATATAATAAAAAATTAAAAATTATGCATTGTATTTTGTGCGGAGACTACCCTAAACATTTTCAAATTCCAAAGCTCTAAAACAAATGGAGATCCCGGTTGCGAGTCCGAATCTCCTACACTCGAAATATGTGAGCGGGGGTGCACTTCCAATAACAAATGAACTTCTGTTAAATTAATATTTTATTTTTTAAAACTTAAAAAAAGATTTAAAGTGAACAAAAAGAAGTGGAACTAACCCTGGACTCCAAACGAGAAAACCCTTTTCCAAGCATCAGCGAAGGGCGAAAAATCTATATGAAAGCACTCGTTTGTGAGTTGCTTCCTAGAATCTTAATGGTGAAACCTTTTGAATTGTGCGATTAAATATTTCTTCAAATCTGGTTTTTCTTCTTCCATCTTCGGTCAAGATCAAGAGCGGGATTTGGAGGTTTCATTGAAGATAAATCTGAGTCTTATTCTAGTTTCAGTCAAGACCGAGTTTTCTTCTTCCACCTTTGGTCAAGAGCAAAATTCAAATAACCAAGTCACAGGTTTTTCTTCATCTCGAACTTGAATCTTTCAAGATTAGCTTGAAGGAGGGTTTCATCATATGGAGTCCAGGATCGGTTCTCACTCCTTTTTTTTTTTACTTTTACTCTTGGTTTTTTAAATTAAAAAAATAAAATATTAATCAAATGGAAGTTTTACCATTTAGTCTCACTCCACGCATGTGGGTGGGTCCACACTCTAAACACAAGACGTGTTCGTTTGTTATTGGAAGTTCACCCCCACCCACATACTTAGAGTGTAGGAGATCTGGACTCATCTACAACCAGTCTGAATGAGCTGGAGACAAAAATAGTACATACCGGGCAGGGCTAGCTATCACGGTTGAACACACCAGTGTTCAATGTGGGCTCCATCTGGGCCCCATTTATACTAAATGTTGGCATGTTCAATCGTGATAAATAACGTGCAAGATTTTGTCTCCAGCCAATCAAGGCTTGGAAAAATTGGATTTAGAATAGGGGTTTAAGGCTCTGCTTGGTTTATAGAAATAAGGGTTTAGAATTGGAATCAGAATGCGTTATATCAATTCCAACTGTTTGGTTGGGCAGAATTAGAATCCCATTCTCATTCCTATGGGGAATGGTATTTCCCCATTTGAGGGAATTGCCAATCCCTACCACTCCCTTGGGAATGAAATCTCATTTCTACTAATTTGAATTCCTATTCCCATTTCTGTCTAAACCAAATAGACTATAGGAATAAACCATTTTGATTCTGATTTTGCTTTCAATTCCAACTACAAACCAAACATACCCCAAATAAACATATTTCATTTCCATATTTGTGTGTGTGTGTATATATATATATACACATATTTACACTCTATATATTTGTATTTGTACTATTTCCAAACAAAGTCGTAGTAAAAAATAATAAGATGCATTTTTGTTACGTGATGTGGTTGAATCGTTTTTATTTTCTAGTAGGGGTGCTCACGGTTCGGTTTCGGTTAGCCAAACCGTGGGGGTATTTTTTGGAACCAAACCGGTTGTATCGGTATTTGGAAAACCGGTAATTGGAACTAAATCGAAGCTAGTAAGTTAATCGGTTGACCAGTTCGGTTAATTATCATTTTTTGGTTTTTTAGTTTTTACAATATATATTATRAACATATATATAAATATATAATAAAAAATTATAAATATATATAAAATATTGTATTTTAAATAATAAATAATATATAATATATTATAAGTATATATTTATATAATGCATATTTATTAATTTATGATATATAAAATATATATAATATACATAAGTATGTATAAAATATATAGAAATATATGTATACCGGTCAGTTCGATTAATCATCGATTTTTTATATTGGTTAACCAAAACTAAATTGGTACCTTCGGTTAACCAATTTTTCAGTTCAGTTTCAATCGGTTTTTTTTGGTTGGTTCGGTTTTTGTTTGCTCACCCCTATTTTCTAACACGCCCCTTTCTGGRAAGTCTATTGGAATTACAATAAAAATTACAGGTTTATCTATACCTTATGCTTAAGTTTAATTAATTATAATGGGGCCAACAAGAATAGAATATTAAACAATTTGTACAAACAGGTTCTCATATGTACCATCTCAAAGATCCATTCAACCTAGAAGCTTAAATTGTACATTAAGAAATGTGTGGAATGGTTTATATATTAACACGCCTGCTTGTAGGGAACTTTAATAGGCTTACAAGCACAATTCATACCTTATGCTGAAATGTAATTAATTATAATGGAGCAATAAGTATTGAATTAATAGTAAATTAATTAATTGGTCAAATAGGCTCTAATACCATTTCAAAAAGTGAGTTCGAGCTGATAGCTGAAACTATTAGGTGAGTTCCTTGAATGGGTTTTTGTTCTCTAACAATTAGTACCATGCAACATGGTTTGGACCAGACCAGTTGACCCAAGAACCAGTTTTGTTTAACCCTAAAACCACTAGTTGATCCAGGCGATTAAACCGTTGACCTAGACAACAGTTTTGGTCATTTTTTATTGTAATTATTTATTTTAATTTTTTAATTAAAAGGGCCATCCATTTAAACTGGATGGTCGAACCGTTTAACCCGGGAACGATCCCAAAAAAAGTTTCGTGTCTGATTTAGTTTTTAAGACCTTGCTTTGCAATCTACTTTTTAATGGCTCAAGTGTACCTCATCTGATGGAGAAATCGAGAAAGCAGCTTCCATGTTTCTCCAAGATTAATTTGGTGGTGGTGCCACAAACATCAAATTTGTCAATTCGAATTGACATTGTCCTATATAGGGTCCATTCTCTTTTTAGATTTTAACATCCGTGAAAATTAATCAATTGGATTTAGGTTCTCATTAACTAAGATATTCTTCAAATTTATATAGATTTTATAGAATCACTTATTAGATAAGTGATACCCATCTGCAAATGAATAACTTTCCCACCCAACACTTGGACCAATAAATAATTTCCCGAAAAATAAACGGAAGCCATAATGATTATCAAAATATTCCATCCGTGGAAAACGTGAATGGAGGATTTTAGCGTTAGTCATGGTGATTGGTGATTAAACGCCCATGATGGACACCCCTCAACAGGTCACGTTGTGACCAATTCTTAGCACGTGATGGTGCTGTCACGTAGAAATGGTGGGATTAATTGATGATATCACAAAGCATAATTAAATTACGATAATCCACTATGTTAATGGTGGGATTAATTGCTTCCACCAATATGGTTTGTTAGATTTCATTAATGCCATCCAAAATCGGTATTTTAAATATAGAACCCAATAAACAACTCCAGCATTAAATAAATAAATAAAGACGACGAAAAATAATAAAAAATTGAAATAAATCTCTTGAATTTAAGTATGTTGGGTATAAAACATACAACCTACAACCAAACCATGTTGGGACATCTAGCATTGCCAATACCCATTAACATATACCCACTAACATAGGTATAAAACTACACACAATCATCTTATTAACAAGCAATGTTGGTGAGGACTCAGGAGGAGCTGCTCTGATCGATTCCAATGTTGCTTGGCCATATATATGGATCACTCCAGATGCCAGTGCCACTGTTAAAATCTAGTTGTTTTCCCAGCAAACACCAGCAACGTGAGAAATAACCAATATTAGCTTGATGATGGTCTCAGTTGGAGAAAAGGGCCTTCCTTTTGTTACAAGTAATTTCCTCCTATCTAGGAACTCCCCATGGGGGACCTTTCTCCATTGGAGATTAGGGATGGAGGATAACTTTGATTCTTAGAAATGATTGAGGTCGGGGATAGGAATTTATTTCAAAATCGGGGTCAAGGTCCAGGGATAGGGAACATGATCCCGCCCTAAACCTGTCCCGTTGTCATTATTAACTCTTATGTCTAAAGGAACATTTTATCATGGTCCAGAAAAAAATTTGCCTTTAAATTTAAAATTTTTAACATACAATATACAYGCACATTCATGTATAAATATATAAATACATGTCTACATGATACCTACATACACACACACACACATATATATATAAGCACATGTGTTACACGTGAGAAATTTTTCTTTACATTAATTAATTGAATTTTAGATATCTCATAGTTAAGATACAAATTGAAAATTAGCAAAAGTAACAATATGATTAAAAATAAACTTAAATGTTTCTAGCAAATAACAATTWTTATTATTATTATTAAATTTTATTTTCCATTTCTTATAACATTATAAATGTTCTCAAATGTTTTTGACAAAATTTTATGCATTTTCAGTTTGGGTATTCTATCTTTTTTTTAATACTTATAATTCAATTATGACATCACGGGTTTCTTTGAAAAGTTGGATCATTAACCCACCATCTAGATAAGAAAATAGCTTTGCTTTTGAATTAGTTTTAAAGTAAGGAAATTATAGTCAAAATCGGTTGTACATTGAAAATTAGGCTATAGGTTAGTCCAAAAACCAACAAAACTCTAACAATCAGCTTTACATTTCAAATTATATAAACATTACCATGTCATCGGCGGCTTATGTAATTGTTGCCAACATGGGACTCTTAATCCATGTTGGACACAACAAAAAACTTATATTGAAATTGCTCTTTAATGTCAGTGATCGAAGGGAAGAGCGAGAGAAAAACTGAAAACCTATTTTTCGGTATAAGCTTTTTGTTGTGTCCAACATGAGTCTAGCGATAGTTTAGAAGGCCTAAAAGCCGCTAATATCTTASAAGGCATTCATTTAAAACTGCCGCTATAGAGTATAGCGACTGCCTCTGATGCATCATCCGCAAATTAAGGTTCTTTTCCCCTCCTCCTTTTTCCTTTTTCCATTATCTTCCCGCCCTCTTTCTCTCTTGCGCGCGCTCTCGAAATCCAACTACAYCGGCCCTCCACTACATTCACTGTTAGTTGCAATAACTTGATTRAGCGATGGAAGAAACTTGTTAGTCCTCAAGGATCTTGTGAATTAGATGTCTAGCCTGACCTCTTCAATTTTAGCTCAGATGCYATTTTTGTTCTTCGTCTATTACATGCTTGTTCATGGTACATTTTACATTGCTTTGATCTTCAATCTCTTTGAGTTTTGCTCCTTTTTTGAACTTTACTATTTGTATTTTTCTGTCCTCTGAAAACGGGGAAGCCACTTCTTCTGTAAATATGCAAGCGGTCGTCAGGCCAGCTGAAAATGGAGAAACTGTTTCTTCTGTAAATTTGGAGAAATTCACGTATTTGATGCAAGAGATGTCTGGCTTTCCCGGGAGGGAAATCACGAAAGAGGGGTTGCGGTATTTGGACGGGTCACTTCTGAGGCGTTTCAACGAAGAATGGCGATTGCAACAGATTGTAGAAACTGAGGTTCATGCTAAGCGGTTTAAGTTGATTCATGTTCACACTAGGCTGATTTTGAAGGCCATTCTCTCTTCGCCGCCTGAGTGATGCATAAGTTAATGGATTTGGGCAGGTTTTTTGGTATAATGTATCTGTATATGCTTTACTAATGTTTGCATTGTATATGAAAAGATACTCTTCTTCTTTTAGTTCTGCAGACCTGTTCAACTAGTTGTTACAGCTTTCTTTAGGTTTTCTTTCTTGCATACATTGAGTGAGTAAACTGGATTCAAGCAAGTGATTTTTTTTAATGGCAATTATGGGTTTAATTTGTTCATCTAATTCTGCACATTTTCCATTATTCTGAGCCTCTTATCTGAATAAGCTTCAACACATTTTGAGACCTAATTTTTACATTCTATTTATGGTTTTTAGTGCTTCATTTAAACACAACTCTWATTGCTAATATTTGGTCATGGTAATTTCTAAAGCCAATGAAATAGATATTCTTTGAAATAACACCCAAACAAGATTGAAACAAGAACATGGAGTTCTTTGGTTTTAAAGTTTAAGCTGGGGAAGGGTTTGATTCTGAGTGTTACGTTATTGGCTTTCTGGATACAGAGAGCTTGTAATTGTAATAGTAGAATATTCAAGTAATATGAACAACAATGACTGTCATACATCTACCAATTACTTATCTGGTTAATATTTTATTTTACACATTATGAGTTATGGTAAGTTTAAGGGGTTAGCCCTTTGTTGGGCTGTCTCTAGGTTCAGATGCATGGATTTGTTTCAGGTTTTTAGATAGTTGAGAATCAACCATTGTCATTTAAAGAAAAAATGTCATTAATCAATTTCCCCTGACTTTCAAAAATGCTTCAACACAGAAGTGTTTGAAGAAAGCAGCACTAGGCTTGTGAGTATGGCGAAGCCAGGTAGACTCACTAGAAAGATGAATTGCAGTAAAACAAAAAAAAAAAAAAAGATAAAAAGAAAAATGAATTATTGTTGGGATTCCACTATATATTAGGCCCTGGGATTGAAGAGTCTGGGAGTCTGAGACTATTTTATGTTTTTCTAATAATATTGTAGGTGTTGTAAATTAATTAAGTATAGGTAATTGCTGAATTAAATGATAAAAAAGATTCTTGCTGAGTTAATTAGATTTGTAGCTGCTATTCTGTGAACAATGGGGAAGAGAGAACTTCCTCAGTTATAATTAAGTTTTATATTTGAATCACACACTGCTGAAGAGACGCTTCATTCCTCTTTAAGAATTGAAAATTGTCTAGTTGGTTTTATTGAGAAACAGAAAAGCTTTATTCAGCTTTAAGAATCAAAATTTCCCTAGTTAGGTTTATAAAGAAACAGAACCTTATCGTTGAACTGTGTGAGCATCTGCACTAGAGCAAATTGACCTATGATCCAATCAAGTCCTGGGGAACCATTACTTGGGTCAGTACCTTGGGGATCTGGGCCAACCAAAAGAATGAAGAGCCATGTGTAGAGAGACTGTGCAAAAGAGTATTGACAATCTGTTGTGTCGGAGTAGTCATGGTGACAATAGACCTCATTCTTGGAATCTACTAAATATTGCAGGGCATTAGAAATTATATCATTCAATTAAATTATAGCTTAAGGTAGGAATCTAGTTTGTTAGTATGTCAACCATCTATGTCATCAATGGGGACTGAATATAGGCCAAACTTGTGGATATCTACATGAACATGAGTTAAATTAGTGAATTTAGGCTTCAGTGTTTGTCCTTATATTTTACAGAAGTCATTTCTTATATTAAAGAAGTTGGTTAGTTTGCATTTTATAATTTCTCATCAGTACTATGAAGTTTTTCTACAAGGAAATGATGAATTTTAAAATGATGTTGTTGCAGACACCAAATTCACCCATAGCAGCAGAGAGTTCTAGAGGTAGAAAAACCAGCAAACGGGTCATACTAGTTTATTATGGTTCTACACAAAGCAATGTGGAGGTACAAAACATGTGACCTTTTTTATTGGTAACAATCAAAAATTTGTTAGATAATGGAAAAAGAATAGTATACACAAATGATGTGCAAACACTGCATTAGTTATTGGCTTACCACCACTAGCCACCCATCTTTCTATATTAGTRCTTGATATTGATATTTGTAAGTAAAATCCCAGGCCATGAGGTAAGAAACTTCTATTATTGAAATTCATTGTGAGTGGTTTGATGTGAGAATTGAACTTCTTTGTCTTCTCTTCAATTCCCTGTAGAAATGATTTGAAATGCACTTTAGAATTACTAAAATGGTAACTTTTGGATTTCTTTTTATYTACCAACCTAGTAAGCTACCTAGCTAGCTTAAGTTAACAAGAGTGGGTTAGACAGATCAATGCCATTATCCATGGTGATCATCAGCTCGTGGCAGGAATGTGGCTTATGTGGTTGAGCTTTGGTGGGTTTTTTTACATTGTTTTTTCATGGGGGAAAGATGTCACATCTTATGATTAGGAGCTGATAGAGAGGTTGGTGGGTTTTGGAGCTTTTAAGTGTTTGTTTGACAAGTCTCATTGTTTGTTGAATGAATAGTCAAGACTCAAGTTGAAGCTCATGGTTTCATGAAGGGCTGCATGGAAGTAACCTTAATATATAATGCATTCTACAAAGTGGAAGAATGCTCATGCACAGTGTCTGTTTGGATGTGACAGATTAATGAATCCCTGAATTCCGTTGGCATTGGAATCTGCATGTTTACTTTCCCTATTTGGTGCGGAATTGCAATTTCCTTTCTTCCCAAACCCACATGGGCATCACAGAGAAAGAATGAAAAGGATTAGAGAAGCAATTTCTRTTCTCAGTCCTGCTAGCTAGGTTCCGAGCTAGTTCCCATAATTATGCAACCCAAGCAGGACAAGCCGACTGAACCCATAAAACCAGAAATCTAACCCAGCCTCTACAGGCAATGAAATGAAATCTATCCATACATAGAATAGTAGAGGGGATGCAAGCGAGGGAGGACCATGTGAATAGAAGATGGCACTGAAATGAAATCGTTTACTCCAGCTACACAATCACTACTTCCAGGTTCTATAATTTTCACTGGCTACTTTCCTAAGTAGATTGCTTACCCAGCACAATTCATGCCTTTTCTGAGTAGATTGCTTCACTTGCCATGGYTCATTTCCTTTTGTGATTAACACCGTTCATCCTATTTTTCTGTTGACTGTATATTGAAATGATGCAAGTTTTCCCTTTGCTTATGCAAGTTCTCTTCCAAAGAGCGGGCGTCACTTGTTTGGCAGTTCATATGCAGCGTTCCTAGTGTTTTTTGGAGGATTTTCTACCAACGAGGAGCCAATCTAGACTCTTATTGAAAAGGTACAAAAATTTGGCTTTTTCAAAAAAGTCATAACGAGCTTATTTTCTGGAATAAGCACTTGTTCGGGTTTTTTTTCTTTTTTTCTAAACACACACATAAGTGTTTAGAGTAAGAATGAGGGATTTGATCTGAAAGCAAACACTTTTTTTTTTTTGTGCAAAGTGTTGAATTCTTTTTGACAATCAAGTATGTGTCAATCTGGCTGTGTATCTGCAAAACCAGGGATAAACTCCTTTTTCAACTATTACTCCTTCAAATATTTCATTAATGAACTATTTGTGCAGAGCACAGAGCAGAGGATAGAAAGATGAAAAAATCAAAGTAATGCAGACACTTTAATTTTCTTGTAGAATACACCTTTGTTTTTCATCTGCCTCATACAATTCTTAAACAAATAATGAGAGTAACAGTATAGAACTATCAGAGACAGACTATACAACTGAGCCTGATATCAGGTGAACATATCCATCTAGAGGTTCCCTGCGTCTACAACAGCAGACACAGAACCATGCAACCAGCAAAGAACAGCATAGAGACCATCTGCACATCTGATCTCTCTGTGAGTTGAAAAATAAGATCAATCATCTTGGTTGAACCTTCTGTATCAGAGTTGCCAGTGTCGAACAATACTCCATCATACTGTGGAAACCAAATAGTTTGCAAAAGCAGGGTAGAAGAAGTCCTCCACGCCATGAACGATCACATGCCCATCATTATACAGGTCTCAGTGAGGGATTTTGACGCCATTGATGGAAGCTCCTCCACGTACCGAAGTGATAATGAGGAGATGCCCAGAAAGGAGGGTTTCGACCTTAGACCAATGGAGCACCGATGAATCCAAAACCTCTAACTTACCCAGTGCAACGTGGTATCGCAGAAGGGTCAAGGGGGGTCCTGCATATTTGAAGTCGGGAGACATGAAAGCCTTGTCGGACGGGCAGAATGTGGTGACTGTTATACCTGTTCGTGAGCCGGGTAGCCCAAGGGCATGCATTTTAGCCCACGGGTTTGACATCGGGCCTAAAAGCCCAAGCCCAACTATTTTACAGGTCGGGCTCGGGATTTGTTAAAAAAGTCTAATCCGACTTTTGTATAAGTTAAACCCTAAATATGCTAATCGGATAACCCCTCTCTTCTGACTCATCTCTTTCTCTTAGCCAAACGAACTCACTTTTTACGGTCACAGCCAAACACTCTCAAGAAGATAGAACCAATGAACACTCTCACCAGTGCAACCAGTGAACTCCAACGGTGACTGGTGAGTCCTCTCTCTCTCTCTCTCTCTTCATTGTTCGGTTGTTTCTCTTCTCACTTCTTCTCACTTTCAAAATCTCAACTCAGCTCATTTATCAGACACAAACTCAGGCACTGGCGGAAACAGGCACCGGTGGTGAGTCCTTTCTCTTTGTCCTTTTGTTCTATTCCTCTCTTATTGTTTGTCCAATGGCGAACACAGACACAAACACAGGCACCAACTTATCTTTTTGTTAGGTTGAGCTTCGGGCTCAGGCTCRGACCTGACTTTGAGCTTTTTATTAGGTCCAAGCTCGGGCTCAAGTTATAGGCCTATTGGTCGGACTAGGCTTAGGCTCGGGCCTAACAAAGTCCTATTTATAAAGAGTAAAAATCCAATCCAAGCCTGGCATGGCCTGACTTTTGAACAGGTCTAGTGACTGTTTGATCTTTGTTATTGAGGAGCCCCATTTCTCTTGAGATCTATGCCTTTAATTTTTATCTTCTCTTGAGTCCTGCAATATTTATCGACTAAAACTCAAAATTTTGCATTAAGCTTAGCCTACTAGCACTTCAACAAAGTTTTTTTTTTTTTTTTCTTTTTTCTAGAGATTTAAAAGCATTAGCTCTTATGGCACTTCAACAAAGTTCTTCATGACACCTCTCTTTTAGTTTCTAGTGCTAGTAGGTTCTTCATTCTACTTGAGAAATAATTGGCTGCATTGCAAAGATGGCTTACAAATTGTAGAATTATGTTTATTTTTTTACAGAATAATAACTACAAATTGACAAGATTTTTTGAGTTAATGTTACAATTTGTTTGTATWATGAATTGTGCGAGTGGTGAATTCATAAAACCACTTCATGGAATTCTATTTTTTTTTTCTTCTTATATTCTTATAGGTTGAATGGAAGGAGAAACTTTAGATTCTTAGATGGAGACATATTGGATTAGATTTTCAAATGTTAATTGTAGTTTAATCTCTTCGAGCAATTTGAATTTATAATGTAGAACCTATGGATGTGTGCAAATTGTACTTGAGACGTAATYTTTTACTTTTTATAATGTAATTTCTATTATTAGAAATTTGCATGCAGGTTTTATGCAATGTATGAATGGACATGTTTCTACTATATATAAGAAATGATTCAGGTTTTTGTATTTAAGATTTTGAACAAATATATAATATTTCTAAAAAGCACAAACCTATAGTAGCAATCATAATTGCCACTATAGGTCTCAAAAAAATATCACCATAAGTTTGAAACAATGTTTGGGATATAGTTATAGCAACAGTTTTATGATTTATACGGCCACCATATCCTAGCTTTTGCTACAAATGCCTTCAAAATCCGTAGCTAAAGGTTAATATGGGTTATAACATTTAATTACGAATACTACAAAAACCGTAGCTATAGGTATTTTTGCTCTACTTCAGTTGTGGTATAGCTAGGAATACCTTCAAAATCCGTAGCTAAAGGTTATTACATTATCGAACATCTAGCTACAGACAACATGAAAGCCGTAGTTGTAGGTGGTTTTAGCTACAATTTTTGTTTGTAGCTATAGGTGTTAATAGTTGTGATCTTGGATTTTAGCTATAGACAATAACTGTAGCTAAAGACACTTTTTAGCTACAGACCTTACCATCCATAGTTAAAACCTATAGCCACGTGAACATCACCTGCAATTTTCTATCCGTAGCAAGATCGTAGCTATAGATCTATACCTACGGTTTTTTAGACTTATAGCTATGGTTTCGTCCTTAGCTAAAAGTGTATTTTCTTGTAGTAGGCTACAATCAAATCTAGATGAATTTAGTCGAAGACTAAAAAACAACTTTTGCAATTGAAATGGGCTTRTATTATTACAAAGTTATGCCCTTTGGCATAAAAAACATTGGGGCGACCTACTAACGTCTTGTAAACAAAATTGACGGAGGGTGATTTGGCCCGACCTCGTACTCAGGTACACGTAGGCGTGACCTAGCTCAAACAGTGACTCAGCATGACAACACAACGGATGTGAGCACAACTCGATGGGGAGGTCCCACCGAGTTCAGCACGGCAACTCGGCAAGTAAACTACTCGCCGAAAGCCGCCTCGCCCGCACCTCCTCCTCGGGGTTAAGGCACTTTGGGGGGTCCTGAGTTCGGGGCACCCTGACCCCTTTTGAGACCCGAGCTCCTCCCAATGGACCTCGGGCCACTCCCAAGCAAGAACGCATCGATTCTTCTTCGGACGCAACGAGGCACAAAGACCTCGGGTCGACTAGCTCGGCATAACCGATTGTAGGCAACCCGTCACTCAAGGGACGACCCAGCTCAAGGCGATTCGCAGGGGAATAGCTCGGTATACCGTAGGAGGGCTTCCTGCCCAATCGCCGTACCCGACAAACCTGCGAATTGCAGGCATGTCCCCTCGCCGCGCCTGCCACCTTTAGGAAGGCGTCCCACACCTGATAGACATGTACCCTGCATGACGGCCCCGCGCGTGCCACCTTTGCCCTGCCTGTAACGGCAGTGGCAGACTGACAGTGGCCGTTATACCTGCCCTGTCAGAAGTCAGAGGGCCCAGAGCAACGGAATTCAGTTATAAGGAACTTATCCTCAAGGAACAAGGTATCTGGAATAGCTAGCGCAACCTGCACTCTTAGTGTTTACTCTTTCTGCTTCTTGCACACAATACTAACTTAAGCATCGGAGCATTCCCGCCGGGAAACCCCCCGGGAGTTCTTCCTCCTTCTCGTTTCAGGTACATCTTAGGAGCCACGCGAGCGCCAACTAGGAGTGACCAGATTGTGCTACATCAAAAATATTTTTTTGATTTGATTGGAAATAAAATAGAAGCTTATGCTAATGATATGGTTGTTAAGACCTAGTCTTCAAATTCTTTAATTTGCAACTTGTACGGTGCTTTTGACATTCTAAGAAAATATAATATGAAGCTCAAACTAAACAAGTGCATCTTTGGGATCACGTTGGGCAAGTTCCTCAGGTACATAATGAACCAACGTGGCATCGAAACCAACCCGGATAAAATCCAGACCGTCCTAAATATGAGACCCCCTAGAGTCGAATAGCCACTCTGAACAAGTTTATGTCTAAGTCAACTAGGCAGTGCCTTCCGTTCTTTAAAGCCATAAAAAAGAACTAAGACTTCGTGTGAACCGAAAACTGTCAACTCACATTTGACAAACTGAAAATGTATCTAAGTTCACTACCCTTGCTAATTAGGTCGGAAGTTGGAGATGAGCTAAAACTCTACCTCTCAACGAGTGATAAGGTAGTCAGCTCGGTTCTAATTCACRAGGTGGGCAGGGTACAGTGACTTGTCTACTACATAAGTAAAGTCTTGCACACTGCCAAGACGAGGTACCCGAATATCAAAGAGTTGGCATTCTCACTAGTGCTAGTAGCAACCTATAAACTATGCCCTTACTTTTAGGCCCATACCATTGTGGTCTTAACCAATTGACCTCTGAGGCAACTCCTTCAGAAGCCCGAGGTCTCAGGAAGGTTAACAAAATGGGAAATCGAGCTCAATAAGTATGGCATTCAGTTCAAACCACGGCCAACGGTCAAGGCTTAGGTCTTGGTAGACTATCATCGAGTGCACGTTTAGCACACCAACCCCTGAAATTGTCGAGCCCGTAGTCACCCCAGAAGCATCTATCGATGTGGCGCTTGATCCGTCTTGGGACGAGGAACCCTGGATCCTTCATGTGGACAACTCGTCCAACCAGCACAGAAACAGGGCTGAGCTAATCCTTTATGGACCTAGCAAGGTGAAGCTAGAGTATGCTCTTCGATTCGCGTTTTGAGCTTCGAATAACGAAATTGAGTATGAGGCATTGATAGTTAGGCTATCATTGGCAAAGGATGTCAACTTGAAACATCTCATGGTGTGAATTGACTCCCAACTAGTGGTGAATCAAGTGAATGGGTAGTATGAGGCTTAGTAGCCCGTCATGTTGGCCTACCTAACCAAGGTTAGAAAGCTCCATCCCAACTTCCACTCTTGGTACATCCAACAAGTTCCAATGTCCAAGAACACTGAGATCGACGTTCTTTCGAATCTAGCCAGTGCAACAAACATCATGAAGATGACGGTTTACATTGAAAACCTACCACGACCTAGCATAGAAAGGGTGGCATAAGAGGTTGCTCTTGTTTTGGTTGTGGACCCAAGCTGGATAGATTCGCTTGTTGACTATATGCGCCATGAGACCCTACCAACAAAGCGCAATATACCTTGAAGGGTAGAGCAGCAATCGACTCACTATGTTATCATTGGTGAACAGCTATACCGCATGTCGTTCACACTCCCCTACTTGCGTTGCTTGCTTTCAATAAAAGTGAACTAGGTGTTATGCAAAATCYACGAAGGAATTTATGGTGGACACTTGGGGGTAGGGCGCTAGCCCAAAAAGCCCTACAACAAGGCTACTACTAGCCCACCATGAAAGCGGACGCAATGGAGTTAGTTTGGAAGGGTGACAAATGTCAACAGCACACAAGGTCAACAAAGGTCTCTTACTTTTCATATAATAACTTTTACAACTATTATTTTTTGTATTCTTTCTCTTATATTGTTAGAGGGTTGAGGACAATCTTATTTATGTAAGTTTTGTTGAAAATGTTAGAAGTCTCAAGTTTTATTAGTAGAAAAAGAGGTTTTTCAAATGTATGGGAAGTTTTTGAAAAGTTTATTGATGATGATAGGAAACCCAGACCAAAGTGTAAGTTCAATGAGAAAACCTACATTACGGATTTTGGTTATGGCACATCCAATTTGAAATGGCATATGAAAACATGTAAAGAAAGGATATTTGAGACTCGTACCTAGAAATAGGACTCATATTTAATGAAGATGCATATAGGGAAGTAATGACAATGGAAATAATAAGGCATAACTTTCTTCTCTCATATGCAAAGCATGAAGRAAATATAAATGTTCAGTCTTTTGAATTTTGATGTTCGACATATTACACAAAACACCATTAACGTCGATATTTTAGGATTATATGAGAGAGAGAGAATAAATGGTTTTATGATTTGTTGCAATCCATCTATGGTAGAATTAGTCTTACAATAGATATGTGGAATTCTATCACAACAGTATCCTATATTTGCATTACAGTACATTTTGTGGATTCTAATTGGTGTTTGCAAAAGAGGATACTAAGTTTTTTTCCATTTTCCACCCCCTCACTATGGTGTTTCCATTACAGATATGGTTTTAAAATTGTTGAAAGAATGGGAAATTGAGAATAAATTATTCTCAATTATACTAGATAATGCTTCAACTAATGAATCATTTATTAATGTTTATGGATCTCGGTTGAATTTTCAGAAGGCACTTTTGTATGATGGCAAATTCCTTTATGTGCATTGTGTTGCACAGATTTTGAACTTAATAGTGCAAGATGGGTTGAAAATGATAGATGAATCTTTGATAAAAAACTGTGACATTGTAAAATTTGTCAATGGTTCTAAGTCAAGATTGATGAAGTTCACAGGACACATCCAACAGTTTTCAATAGAATACAAGAGGAAGCTATTCTTGGATGTTCCTACAAAGTGGGATTTGACCTATCTTATGCTTGAAATAGTAGTTGAGTATTGTATGGTGTTTTGCCACTTGAAGTTGGTGGGTCCATACTATCGTAACTACCCAATTGAAGAGGAATGGGTAACGGTTGAAAAGTTTAAGGGATTTTTTAGACCAATTTATGAAGTTACAAATATTTTCTCTGGAACAAAATGCCCAAATTCAAATTTATTTTTCCATAGAGTTTGCTAGATCTAAGGAACTTTAAAACATGCATTAGAAAGTATAGATTGGTTTATAAGCRTGATGGCTAAACCTATGCAAGAAAAGTTTGACAAATATTGAGTAGAATATAGTACTATTTTAGCCATTGTTATAGTTTTAGATCCCCAATACAAGTTAAAGATTGTGGAATATGTATGTAAAAGGTTATATGGTGAAGATGGGAAAGATAAAAGTGCTCATGTTCAAGACACATTGTATG